CCCCCCCCCCCCCCCCGCTCGGTATAAGAGGAGGGAAGCTAAGCATAGAAGGAAAAAATTATCACAAATTACATATTATAACCACACACAGACCATCATTATCAGTATAAAGGATATGCTGATTTACAAATTTATATTTGGATACAATATTTCTATTTAGAATACACCTAACACATCTCCTAGAAGGAATATAATGCGCGTGATGTACTAGGTGTCTGCAGTGACCGTTGCAATGCATGTAAATGTAAGCTGCCAGTACTCTTCTCACTGAAAACTAGGACAACTATTTCCAACTTACTTTTACTGTGGGAATTCAATTCAACACTCTTCGTACGGCAACCACTTGTTGATTATTAATGCACGAGTCGTCAAAACATGCAAGACATGACACTTCCTGGCTCCCATTTGATGTATCCTTATTTTGGAACAAAGTAAAATAAAGCAACTGAAATTAATTTAATTTGTTTGGAATAAAATTAAAACATGATCTATCTCTTTACCGCGAGTTTATTTTTTTGTCTTTTGTTTTGTTTTAGATAGAAAGAATGGAATGAAAGACATAAAATGTTGGTTAGGGTATGTTAATTTTTTACCTTCGCCTCAAAACAAACACCTAAGGTATTTTCTTGGATTTATTCTAAAATAAATGTTTATTTCCTTTTTTGATAAGATATTTGTTTGTGTTTGACTACTTTTAGTTTTAATGAATGTAAAATTTTGGTCACTAGCTGTTACAAATTATTATGCGTTAAGTAATAAACTAATGAGTATATATATATCTAACGAAATTGCTTTTTTTTTGTGTTCATTTGTTAGATTGGAATTGAATGCCAACTGAGTGCGGAGGAACTGGCTCAACAAATCCAGAAAACATTCTGCTAATTAAGTAATTAATTAGGAGCATGTGATGATTGAATTGCTTTATTTGTGTTGGCGACAGAAGAAGGAAGTCATATCGAAGAAAGAACTGAATCCCTTTGGGATTCGATTTAGTATCTTTCCTAGTTTGTTTATTTCTTGTTTTAGTAGGAATAGAAATATGGTAGGAATAGAAGTTTACTTATATGCTTTATTCTCTTCCTATATAAAGGGGGTTAGATCTTTGTATTCACAGAAC